TTTTCCAGAGAGTCTGGGTGTGAAAGCAGTGCCTGTGAGAGAGAAACACCGAGAAAACCCAATTTCTGCTGTGCCATTGCTTTGATTTGCTGCTGCTTCCTGGCCCCCAAAACCCAAACCAACCCAGGCCCCTTCTGCACAAATATATTCTCTGTTTGCTCTCCGTGTCAACAGAGAACAGGCTCTGCCTCCTCCCCAGGGTGATCTGCTGTGGTGACAGAGGAGTGCTGGGCTGGGCCTCAGCCCCTGAGCTCACCCTCCTCAGCCCATCAGTGCTGCCATTGCCCAGCGCCAGAATCTCCCACGGCTTTGTTTCCCACAGGTGATAGAATATATCAGGGTTTGGGCAGAAACACCAAAGGTACAGAAGGAGGCAGGAACAGCCCCGTGCAGGCTGTGACAAACACAACCCCTTGGCCAGAGGCTGGAGCTGGCCAGGGATGTGCCAGCAGCAAGAACGGCTGGAAGAATTCACCTCCCAAAAGCTGCCTGGGTCGGGGAGAAAGGAAACAGAACTCCAAATACTGCAGTGCCCCAGGCTGGGGAAACCCCAGGGACTGCATGGAATCGAGGTGAGAATGTCAGGGTCAGTTTTCCAATCCCACAGCTCTTTCCCTGCTCCGGTCCCCGGCACCAGCGGGAGGTGAGAGCACAGCAGGGGACTGTGGGACAACAGCACCACCTGAGCCCTGGCAAGGTGACATTTGCCCTGCCTGGGAGAGAGGGAGACATTAGAAATAGATGGAAGATAAGGGAGCCAAAAGTCTTGTCTTTTTCCTGATATTACAATTTATAAATTTGACAGAGTCTCCCTGAGAGGATGTAAGGGCTGATAAATTAGTCAGTGAGAGAACTCACAGCTGCTAAGAGTTTACTGGATAAAAAAGCAAGAGAGGGACTGGTCCATGAGGTATATCTGCTCACTCTTCCTCCAGATTTCTTAGGGAAAAAAGTTCACATAAGAAGACAAACAGAAAAAATGGAATGAAAGATGAATACTTATACACTAATTAATACTCATTTGTTCTCACAGACACCTATCTACTACCCAGCTTTTAATATCCAAAGCACTTCTAGCCACGAATAATGTGTTTTCATTCAGACATCAAATTCAAAGGTGATGCTTTAAGTGCCCTAAGAATTCTAATTTTTAAAAAAGGAAACAGTCTGACACTTCCCTGCATATTTACAAGTCTTGTGTCATGTAAGTCATGAAAGGTGTGAGACAGTCTGCAAATAATTAATATGGGAGCGTGCAATTATGTGAATGTACGAAAGTGCACCACCCAAAGTAGTTATTTTTAGATGTAAAAAAGAAAGTAATATGATCCCCAAATGTTCAGACAGGAGGGAATGTTCTCTCCAAGGCCTGGAGCCCCTCTGCTCTGGAGCCAGGCTGGGAGAGCTGGGGAGTTCACCTGGAGAAGAGAAGGCTCCAGGGACACCTCAGAGCCCCTTGTAGGGCCTAAAGGGGCTCCAGGAGAGCTGGAGAGGGACTGGGGACAAGGCATGGAGGGACAGGACACAGGGAATGGCTTCCCACTGCCAGAGGGCAGGGAGAGATGGGATATTGGGAAGGAATCCTTCCCTGGGAGGGTGGGCAGGCCCTGGCACAGGGTGCCCAGAGAAGCTGTGGCTGCCCCATCTCTGAGAGTGTTGAAGGCCAGAACGTATCTCCAGGCAATACTTTTAAAATAAGCATATCACTGTTAGAAGAATTTATGATGTTTAGTTTTCCAGTCAGCCATTCCAGAATCAAAATAGATGCAGTGAAGAGCTGTCAAAGTCAATTTTGACTGCAAATTCTCATTTCTTAGCAGCCTCCACTGAACAGAAAATCCCTCAAGTGAGGTTAAACACAGAGCACTTTTTTGGGATGAAATGGGCCAGATTTAAAACGAAAATGACGCTTCAATCCAGCAAATAATTATTCTCCAGCACACACCCGAGGGCGTGATGAGCTCCAGAGCATCACACAACTCAGACCCACAGCCTGCAAAGAGCTGCCCATCCCCAGGGACACCACTGCTGGCTGGTGAGGGGGCCCTGGGCTCCCAGGACTGTGCATGGAAGAAGGACAGGCATGGAAAAATTCCTTGGGTACCTCTGTTTACCTCTTCCAACGTAAGCCCAGGATCAGTTTGAAACCACCTCATGACTCATATCACAACAGCTTCATTCCAGAGCAATCTCAGTAACTGCATTTATATTCTAGGGGAGATAAGACCAAGACACACGATGGCTCCCCAGGTGTGGGGCTGCACATCCCTTACAGATTGTCTGAGCACTTGGCAATCACCACCCACACTCCTCTGCATGCAGATCGAGCCAAGAATGACTTGTGAAGCAACTGGAAAGCCTCTGGAAGCAGCACACTGTGCCCAGCCCTGGGAGGAGAGGTCCTGCCCAGCCCAGCCTCCCTCTGTCCTGATGAGACTGGAACTGTGAGCCAGCCCAAGGGGTGTCAGTGCCCAGCTGTGTCTGAGAGCAAACCCTCCCAAACCTTTCCAAACGAATCCAGTAAGGGTTGGAGATGCACTCACTGTCCAAAGCAGTGCACAGGGCCAGCCTGGGGACACCGAGAGGAATTCCAGAGGAATGCAGAAGCCAAGGTCAGGACAGGTTCCTGCTGAGCAGGGAGCTGCTCCTGCCTGCCCTCAGCCCTCAGAGCAGGTGCCCAGCACACAGCCAGGTGGGAACCTTAGTGCTGCCTGCAGAAGGAAGGGAGAACAGAGCTCGTGGAGCCCTGCACTGGGAGGCTCCAAAGCCCAAGGGACTGATCCAGGTCTTTCAGATATCACATCACTGCACTGCCTTTTCCTCCTGCCCTGGATCAGGAGAAAAGCATAGCAGACATTTCTGCAGGACCAGCTGTGGCTCCCCAGAGGCACTGACTTTCTCTGCCTTGTTCAGTGATGGACAAGCCACCTTGACCCAGCTACCACACACAGTTTTTCAAGCCTTGTATTTTCATCAATCTCTACAGCAGAGAAGTCCTGTTTGTCACTCCCAGGAAGCAAGTTAAAGCATTATAAACACATCTCTCTGTGCATCACAAGCAGAAATTGATACAGTCACGTAATGGCTCAGCTCTGTGTTCATACCTACCACAAATAAGTTACCAGCAAAAACAAGCGTCAATTTACAACCAAGTTGATGTTTTCCTGCTATCCCTGCTTTGTTTTTAATACAGTGTATTGTTCCTGCTGGTTTTGGTTTTGTATTCCTGGAAGAACAAATCAAAGCAGCAAGCAGAGCTGTGGCAGCCAGAGCTCCAGCCGCCAGCCCAGCTGGAGCAGGAACGCTTCAGGGAGGGATGGGGAACAGAGCCTGCTGCAGAGGAGCTCTGGCAGGACCAGTGCAAGCCCAAACCCTCCCTGGCCACGGCATTTTCATAGCTTTTCTGAACCAAATCTTAAAATCTGCTCAAAGAGTCTGAATGGACGATTGCTTTTTATAGGGCTTGGATGACAACGTTGCTTGTGTGCCTTTGCAGACAGCAATGCCTCATATTGTTTCCACTATTACATGGAGAAAATTAATTTTAAAAATCCATGTGAGCTCCTAATTATTTTATTTTCAAATGCTTGTGCTTTTTTTTCCCCCCAGTTTTATTTTAAAACGTGATTTCTCCAGAGATTTAAGGCATCTTCTCTCTCGCTCCTTCTCATCTCCTTCCTTGAACAATTTCATCTTCACACAGCTGCCCTTTCCTCTTTCCCATTTCATTTGCAATAATACTTTGAGTGGCCCTTCTCCTCCTCAACTGCTTTGTTCCATTCCCCTCCAGACCAGCCATCATCACCCTTCCTGGCTCTGGCCCTCGGATGCTCCAGGTCATCCCGATGTTCATGAAGAGCTTCACACCTCAAATCAGCCTTTCTGCCTGAGCTGGGAGTTAACATAATGGCCCTGATTCAAATACAATAAAGCCAATTTGAACACTCTGTAAGAACTAAATTGAAACTGGAGCTGGGGCAATTTACACCACCAGAGATATTAGGAATCTTTTTTCCTGTGACTCAGAGACTCAATTCAAGCAACATTCCTACCTTTGCTGATATAAGTTTTCATTTACGAGGGACCAGTGAAACCTTCTGAAGGCTGAATAGTCATTTCTTCAGGCCCTCAGTGCACAGCACCACAGTAAGCGGGGTCAGCACCTTCCATACCTGGGCTAAGCCCAAAGGAGTGGGCAAAGCCCCAAAGGAGAGGCAAAACCCCAAGTGCACACAGAACTGTGAGAAATATCTGTTAATGGTTGTTAGTAATTTCTCCCCAATATCAAAGGCTTTCTTGTTCCTCTGATTGCCCTAGAGCAGCAGGAATTTCTGGCTGATGCAGTCACAAGTATCAAGAGAGCTCACACATCACCACTGAGGCAGCCACAACACCCAGGAAAAGCCAGTCCTCAAAAATTGTTCACTCGTGGTTCCACAGCAGCAAGTGGTCACTGGGCTTTCCCCTGGGGAAAAGAAGGTTTTGCAAACGTTTTTGGAGCCATTTATAATTTTAGAGTAAAGAGAGTTGCTCAGCTCACATGTTGGCAAATGTTGTTTTTGTGCTACCAGGCAAATCTGTGGGTAGAGATGCTGGAAATGACTCAGAAAACACTTTGTTAGTTGTTAGATCTGGGTGGCCAGAATTAACTTTTGATCGTTTGTTTGTTCCTTTTTTAAATGGTTATCGAATATCTCCATCTCCAAAGGTTTTATTGGGATCCACCTCCAGTGGTGGGAAGCAGGAGACTACCAGGTGATGGTTCTCAGGGCTCCCAACACAGGCACTGGAATCACCCACGTTATGGGTCTCCCCTTTTCCAGGAAAACCTGCCCATGGCAGCTTCTGGTAATGGATTTGTGAACAATTTTTAAGTTAGATACTGGTTTTAACATAGCTGCACTGATGAACATTCTGCATATAATTATGGATATAATAATAAGAACCATCATAATCATCATCATTGAGAATAAAATAATAAGAAGCTGGGTTTTCCTTACCTTTTTGGAAAGCAGGCAAAAGCTATACAGTAGGTGGAAGAGTGTACCAAGTAACAGACTTTTGAACACTCTTTCTTACTGGTGGTATGCAGTCTAAGGGAAAGTAAATACATTGGTATGTAGGATCGCTCTGTGCACAAGAAACTCTTCCCAGCCTGCCCTGCCAGGAGCCCGTGGCACTAATCCGGCTGCAGAGCTCGGATTAGAGCAGTGCAAAGCTGAGAGGCACCAGCATAGGGATGAGCTCTGGGTAGGCAGCAAATGAACCAGTCACAGAGTTCAGGTACCTCTGAACATGGGAGCAGCTGCTCACACAGCAGCAGCTCTGCTTGGTTATTCTTTTTTCTTTCCTCTCCCCTGAACCAATTCTGGGACATTTCAGCTTTAGTTTCAGTTCTCCCTGTCCCTCCTCACCAACACAGCCTCACAGGCTCCTCAGCATCATCAACAACCACATTAGTGCTTTCCTCAGAAAGATGGAAGAGGCAACATGACGTCAGTGGTGTTAAGGATGAGGAGGAATGAGTACACATGACATCAGTGGTGTTAAGGATGAGGAAGAATGAGCACACAAACACGGCACAGGAGCATTTGCAGTGTCCATCTGAGACAGGAGATGCTCGTGATCCACAGACACCAACCACAGGTTAACGATGGGAACCCACAAAGTCCATGTTCATTCTCGAGGATGGAGAAAAGTGAGGATGGACGGACAGTGCCCTCACTGCCACAGGGATGGACAGGGGCTGGCAGTGCTCGGGAGAGAGCTGTTCTAACACAGAACATGCAAACAGTGCCTGGTGTGTTTGGGGACGATGGGCTGTGACTGCACCTCCCCACCAAAAACTCAATCAGCTGCCAACTAAGTCCTACTTAATGCTGAAAGAGGGGAAATTTAGGTTAGAATCCTTCCCTGTGAGGGTGGGCAGGCCCTGGCACAGGGTGCCCAGAGAAGCTGTGGCTGCCCCATCCCTGGAAGTGTCCAAGGCCAGGTTGGACGGGGCTTGGAGCAACCTGGGCTGGTGGAAGGTGTCCCTGCTTTAATGCCCCTTCCACCCCAACCCATCCTGTGCTCTGTGAAAGCAGCCAGTGCTGGCCCAGCCCCCGGGAGGCACAGCCAGGGCCCCGTGGCACTGATTTCCCTGTCGCTGTGTCGGGTGAAGCCCTGAATTAAAACAAGCTGCTTGGGAAAAGGAGTAATTACATGTAAATCTCAATATAAGTTAAGTATGGGTTGGAGGTTCAAATGTTTCTCTCCCAGCCTGACACTCTGCTCCTGCAGCACAAACAGGAGCAGACACAGCCCAGCAGAACATTCACACTCTGCTCCACTCCAGAAGTGCCTTCTCAAACAGGGTGAGACCCAGCCAAAGACATGAGAGCAGGATGAACTCATTACATGGACAAAGCTGCTGGGTACCAAATTCTGCTTGTCCAAACCTGCAGCAAACATGCATCAGGAGGAGAAAGCTGTGGAAGGAGTGAAAGCATGAACATGCCAGATGGCAAAGGGGAATGATATAGAGTTTTCCTAGGTAGATTGAAAAGCTTGGCCTTAATACATCCCATTCAGGAGGAAAGCCCTCCCATAGCATGGCTGGGGAGCTCAGCTTGTGAGACTACTCATTTCCCATAGATCCTAAGAAAATCTGTAGCACAGAGAGTCCTTATTCCCCAGAAACTGGGCTATGAGGTCACTGCACTTCAGGTGACTCTTCTCCCACATTAATCAGTCTCTTCTTTTATACCCACACTAAACCCCCAGTGCATGAGCCCAGCTCTCCCAAGTGCTCTGCACATTTGTTTCTGAGCCTGAATTCCTGCAGATGCCCCCAGAGTTGTGTGCAGAGGTTGCACATGATGCTCAGCATGCTGAGGAACACCTGCTCCTGGGAAGCCACTCAGGAAATTTATAGGCCTTGCAGCTTTACAAGCACTTCTTCAGTTCTTTGTCTCAGAATGGTTTGGTTGGAAGGGACCTCCAAGATCATCCAGTGCCACCCCTGCCATGGGCAGGGACAGCTTCCACCAGCCCAGGTTGCTCCAAGCCCCGTCCAACCTGGCCTGGGACACTTCCAGGGCTGGGGCAGCCACAGCTGCTCTATTGTTTTCAATGTCTGATAAATCATGGAGACTTCTTTCAAGGCTATTTTTCTGTAAAACCATCCACATGTGCTTTTGGTTTGACTCTGGCACGTGAGAAGGACAGGCCATAAATCCGTGCTCAGTCCCCAAATTGCCCCATGTTTGAGGTACGTGAATCCCATGCTGGTGGCTCCGTGCTAATTGGTTCTCAGGAGATAGGAAAGATTTGTGTCTTTCCAATAGAAATGGCAACTCCAGTCTCCAGCACCTGAGCAAGCAACAGCAGTACTGGGAAACAGAATAGAAAATCAAACTGGAAAACCCAACTGTACTTTTACACTTGTGAAAAGCCCTGGCAGCAAAGCCAGGTCAGCACCCAGAGTTTGCTCTGCACAGTGTTGATGAGTCTCCAACTCATCCTTTAACCCTCTTCCATTAATTTCCCTCCCTGCTGCCCCCCTGAGCTCCAGAGGAGCCTGGCAGGGACCAACCAAGCAGAACTTCCCGCCCTGGTGCTGCTCCCAGGGCAGGTCCCAGCCAGGAGAGGCCGTCGATGGCATCGCTGGGGAGCGAAGCAATTGCACAAAGGGACACAGCAAAGACATTCTCTTGTTTTCTTTTGCAAGAAGATACTTGGGATTTTAAAAAAGTAGGGAAATGCTCCTTGTCTTGATGCATCTGGGGCAATTTTTTTATTCATATTTCCTGTTTTCCAATTGGTAAAACTCTGAAAGTTTCCCTGTTCACTGCGTAAAATATTTTTTGAAGTTAAATTGCTGTAAAAACATCAAAACCATCTTTATGTATGGACACCCTGAGCAGGGGGTCCATCAATAACCTATTGAACACTATAGGGAACCCCCAGTGACTGCAGTAGTTACACTGGGACCCAAATATTTTAAGTACAGTAGTTTATTTCATTTGATTTTCTAATAATAATTTTTATGAACACACATACCCAGGGAATGAGCTAGGAGTGATAAGATGAAGAGATGGAACCCTAAATAAATAATTAAAAGGTTTAAAAGAAAATATATTTTCCTAACCGTAAAAAAAGGTAAAAGCCCAGTACTTAGGAAAAACATAGGAATTAATATATTGAATGTTTCCTGGCTGGCAGGGTTAACAAATGAATTTATGTGTCTTAGAATCCCACAGAGTGAAGGCTCAAGGCAGAGAGTGGCAGATCTGGGCGAGCCAGGGGACCCTGACCCTTCTTCTGTCTCTTAAAACCATATTCTAGTCTATAGCCCTAGATGAAAAATGTTGTGTTTTTGCAGAAACACGGGGGTTAAGTGGGCAATATTGCTTTTTAATAAACATAACTCCTTCCCAGGGGAAAAACTTGGTTGTTCTTTGGTGGGAGGGGGAAATACTGTCAGAAGTCTGAGACCAACAATAAGATGCAGCACAAAAGAATGAGACCAGGAGGGGACACTTGGGGTGGGACATCCCCAGCCTGGGGTTCCCACAGGGCTCTGCCTCCACACCGAATTGCAGCATCACAACTGGGGTAGTTTTCTTGTGGTTCAAGTTTTGAGAGGAAATTTTTATATTTTGAGTTTTCTGGGGGAAAAACTGATTGCAGCTCATCTGGTCAAAGCAGTGATTAGTGAAGTGCAGCAGCAACACTCTGTTCCCCTGCCCTGTCCCAGCTGACCTGCAAATTCCCTTTTCCTTCCTCCCTCCCTGAACAGGACTCTGACTGTCACTGCTAACACTCCAGGGCAGGAATTCCACTTCTTTCCTCCTGCCCCGAGGGCTCTGCTCAGCTACAACTGGAAGAGGCCAGACACGGTCCTTCATTTATGAGAACCATCTCCTGCCTGTCTCAGGTGGGAGTCCCAGTTCAGGGAGCTCAGCTTCCAAAGCCAAGTTTAGTTTTCCCAGTTAGAACATCCTTTGTACACCTGCACGGTGAGACATCAGAGAAAAACACTGCAGGGAGGGGGGCAAAGGGAGGAAAAGTGCTGTGTCAATAGTTTGCTGCCTGTTCCCACTTTGCTGTGACAGCAGAGCTGCTCCCAGGCAGATCTTGCAGCAGCACTTCGGAGACAAGAAGTGGCAGGGGCTCCAGCAGCCAACGGATGAGTGGATCCCGGGCAGGGAAAGGGCATTTCTCCACTTCCAGATCTGTTGAGCACAAAAACTGCAGACGTGCCCAAACCTTCCCAATATGCTGCAGAGTCGTGCAGCTGTCTCCTTCCTCAGCCCCTTCCAGATTCAAATGCAAATCAGATTTGATGGCCTCAGTCTGTAATTTCGTGCTGCGCAATCCCCTGCTATGCACATTAGGGAAACTGGAAGCGTCTTTTCCATCTATTTTCCTTTTAAATCGCTGGCAAGATTTGCATTAAGGGCTGGATAAAATCCCTAAATGGGAATCTTCAAGGACTGTGAGAATTTTGCAAAGAAACTTTGCAAGAAAGCAAATGATAACTCAGGTTAGCAGAGTTATCGATGAGTTTGATCCTCGTCCCTCCATCTGCCCTGGAACCTGTCCCTGCCAGGGTGAGCTGGGCACAGGCTGAGGGGCTCGGTACCCAAGGGTGCTGCTGATCTCACTCACAGAGGAGGGAAGAAGGAGGAGGAGGAGGAGTTACTCTTAGCTACCAAACACATTGTGAGGAGTCTCTGCCGACTGGCACAACTCAAAAATTTGGGGAGGAGATAAAGAATCAAAAGAAACGCGAGACTTCAAAGATCTGTGATGGAGACGACCAAGGAACATGAAGGCCCTGCCTTGGGTGCCAGGCCGTGCCCCCCCCACCCCATGCAGCCCCCAGGGGTGCCGTACTCACTGTTGGGGTCCACGTTCTCGCACAGCTCGGTCTTGGCCTCGCCGTTGGGGCGGTCGCTGGGCTTGTGCGAGAGCCGCGACGACATCGTGGCCGCCGTCACCACCGCCTTGAAGCTGCGCTTGCGCTTCTGCACGTTGAGCTCGGGGTGGAAGATGATGATGTAAACCTTCGGCATGTACAGCATCCCCAGCGCCACCGACGCGCTTAAGTTCATGGATATCGTGAGTGTGGTGGTTTGTATGTAGAGCTGGGGGACACAACGAGAGACACCGTTACGCGTCAGGTGCCTTCCAGACATCAACACCCGCCGACCAGCACCTTGTAACCCCAGAGGTGTGAGCTGAGAGCTCGGCCCTGCATCCACTGCCAGGCCCAGCACGGATCACCTGCCTGATCCTTCAGCAGCCTCTCTGAGGCTCCGTCCTGCAGACTTCATTGTCCTCACCGACACAAGTCCCGCGGTGTGTTATGGCACAGCTTCTGCCTGTTTATTTGGATTGAAATAACTCCAATCTAAATTAAAACTTAGGTCAGCTGTCAGTTACCAAAGGGGAGCTATAACAACACAGCTAGTAAAACTTTCTTGCTTTCAAAAAAAATTGAGAAAAGTGGGATTTTCTCAGTTCTCCTGTACTTTAATTCTCTACAATTAATTGAAATAACTTTGCAGAGAGTACACAATGGTTTCTGTGCTCGTGACGTTCAGTTATGCTCTTTAATAGGAAAAAATAGCATATTTTTAAGTCAGACAGCAGGTACTTCAATGGAAGGAGTATTCAGAAAAACCACAGGGATTCAGAAATGTACTCTGAAAATATACAGGGGTAGAAAAGCCTTTTTTTACTCCTTTTTAAAAAAGTATCTTTTCAGTTAAACTAGAACAATCCTCATGACTTGAAAGGATTCAGCACAGTTAAAAGGCACAGAGACAGCACAATACAGATGTGAGGGAGCTGAAGAGGCAGCAGTGTCTGTGGATCCTCTTCAGGAATTAAACATATAGGAAATCCATGGAGATGGGAAAATCATCACACTTTGAGGGTGGTTTCTTAAGAACACTAGTTCCTCTTCCGCCCTCTATTCACTGTTGATCAGTCTGAATTTCTGATGGAAAAACTCCCTGAATAAATCTAATGGCAGCATAAAATGCTGACTCTGCCCAGGTATCTCCAAATTCGAATATTTAGAACAATACAAGTGTCTCCAGACTTGCCAGTTGTATCCAAGCACAGTTGCTACTACAGCGACCAAAGCCTCCCCTTGTAGAAGCAGTAAAATACCTTCTAGAAACACAAGAACATGCTGTGCACAGATGTGCCTCTGTACAGATCCTGAGAAGCAGAAATTAAAGTGCTTTCTTAAGTTTTTTTGCTTGTTATCAGATAGAAATGACCCTGGCGATGCCAGAAATGTTGCCCCAGTCAGGACCCTGGGACACAACCCAATGTCTGGGGAAAACACACGCTGGGCCAAGGTCCAGCCCTCGATGCTGGGCCCGAGGGATCCCCTGGTTAAAGCCCTGCCCAAGGAAAAGCCCTTCCCACCAGAACAACTTCTGACAGGCCACCCCTGGCCCCTGCTCTCCTAAAGCCACCACACCAAACTCCTGCAAACAGCCCCAAAACCTTCGGTCTGCGCCGGCACTGACTGTCCTGTCTGGGTGGCACAGGGAGGGGGCACGGGGAGGGGGCCACCACACCCCCTTACCTTCTTGTCTATATTTTGATAGGGCAGCTCCTGCCCCAGTGCTGACACCTCAGCAGCCACAGGCTGCCTGACATGGTTTTCCATGGGCTAATCTGGCTGGGAATTGGCCTCCCTGGGAGGTGACTCACCCTGGGGACGGTTTGAGCCAACATTTTCACCTTGGTCTGGGCTGCTGCAAAAGCTGCCACCAGCAGAGCCCCAGGGATGCTTTTCTTCAGTGCACACAGGGGCTGGTTTTTATTTCTTGCTGCTATGAAGGGGTCAAAGGTGAAACGATTATTTCATCAAAGGGGTCTTTTGCAGCAGCCCTCAGCCAAGTCCCCACCTTGGAAATGCTGATGGGAGATAAAAGGAAGGGGAGAAAGGAGCGTTTGTAGAACAAGGCAGGCTGAGTGACACACAATGCTGCTCATGACAAATGGGAGCTGTGCAAAGATAAGGGAACTAATAGATATGCTTATTATGCAGAGCCTCAGTTTTATGTGTTTTATCTCTGCTTTGTGGTTTTACCAGTCAGACATAAAAATGCAGTTTACGTGAAACTATTTCATTTCTTATTTCACTTCTTCTGATAAACTCTGGAAAGCGCTTTAGATGAATGCAAATGGGTGACTTCAAGTACAAAGGATCAGATTCAACTGACAATGGGACTCTAATAACTCAGGCGTGCCTTTTACAGCTGGCTGGTGAGCCTGGCAGCTTCCAGACCTGAGATTAAATTAAGAAATTAAGATGCAGATTTAGTGGGAGATGCTCGAGTTTGACATGAATGAGAGCTGGGATTGAGCTTACCTGACCTGGAGGAGAGAAGGCTTTGGGGTGACCTAATCAGACCTTCCAGTGCCTAAAGGGAGCTCACAAGGAAGATGGAGAAACACTATTTACAAGGCACAGGACAAGGGGGAATGGCTTCACATTGCCAGAGGGCATTTTGGGATATTGGGAAGGAATTCTTGGCTGTGAGGGTGGGCAGGCCCTGGCACAGGATCCCAGAGAAGCTGTGGCTGCCCCATCCCTGGAAATGTCCAAGGCCAGGTTGGACGGGGTTTGGAGCAACCTGGGCTGGTGGGAGGTGTCCCTGCCCAGGGCAGGGGTGGAATGGGATGGGTTTTAAGGTGCATTCTAAGCCAAACCATTCCAGGATTCTAAATGTTAGCAGTGGAAATGAAGGCTGCCTAAAAACAACGTGATGTTGGTCTGTGCAAGTTCAGTCCCATGGAGGGTTTGAAGCCACATTTCCCATGACAGAAGGACAGAGTCATGCTGGAGGATCACCCTCACTCACATACCCGTCTCTCTCAAGCAGATCCTGAAGTTTGACAGCTTTTGACTTCCCACACTGTTACAAATGCATGGACTTTGAAGCAGGCACAGGAGAAAACCCAACCCTGAGGACATCATTCACATGCAAAAGCACCCAGATTTTATCACTTCTTTTACATAAGTGATTTCCATTTGAATTTTAGATTTCTGTGTTTTCCAGATTCTTGCTTTATTCATGCAAATGACAAAAATTACCTTCAAAACCTTGAGAGAAAATTAGACTGGTCTGGAACACACACATCTAATAACCAGAGATTTTTATAGGACAAATTATATCAATGGATATTTTGCATGAATGTGATTTCTCTGGGAAGAAAAGCACTGCGGGATCAGGCCTCTGACTCTTTGCTAACCCAGTGGAGAGATTTCCAGCTCCTGAGCCATGAGAACTGAACTTATGGTTTATATAATAGCTGAACTGATAGCTGCAGATTTAGAAAAGTCCCTTTAGGAGTCAGAAATACTTCCTTGTACGCTAAAGCTTTGCCTTCAGTCTAATCAGGAGCAACTGCTCCTTTTCTCCAATTCAGCTTTCTAATTATGCACTGAATTGTGTTATTTTGCAATATGGAAATAAAGTGGTAACTTGAGATATTTTTGGACTCGTGTTATTACAAGCCAATTTATCTCACTTTTATATGGGAATTAAAACAAATGTTCTTACAGATGAAGTAGACAGTTTATAAATCTCCCAAAAGGCTCTTCCAGGTCATCTGAAGATTCCATCTCATTCTCTACATTATGTTGTGTAAATATAAGAATGAGAAACACTTTTTAATAAAAATGAAAATCAGCTTCCACTGCGTTATGTGCTTGTAAAAACATGGGAAGTAAAAAGTCTTGAATATCAATGTGCTCTCAGCCATTCTGGTGTTTGATGCCACTGCACAGCCCATGTGGGGAGGGAAGGTCCTGCAGCACCCCCTCCTCTGGGCAGCACCCCAGCCTCACTGAAATCAGCCCAAGGCAAACACTGCTCCCTTTCTTGGACAGCTTCATTTATGGGAGTTTCAGACAGCTGTGCCTTCCCACCAGGATGGCACACTGCTGTTGTCTGAGAAATGCAGCTTGTCACACGTTAAGCAGTTCTGCCAGCTCTCCTTCCTGACCTGGCTCAGCAAGCAGGGGTGGGAACGAGATGATCTTTGAGCTCCCTTCCAACCCAGACTGTTCCCTCATTCCATGACATGATTTTATATCGACCTTTGCCTTCCTGTGCTCCAGAGTGCCCTTTGCACAGGGTGTGGAACAACCCCTGTGACCACTGGAGTTCCCAGCCCACCTCACCTCAGGACCAACACCAGCCAGGACCAACCCCAATTCACAGGCTCCTGTGAAGAGCCTTTCTGAGCAGAAGGATGAACTCACGGTCACCGGGATGGTTCCACTGTCAAACATCCGTGCTCATGTCCAGCACTCTGCATGTCTGGGCACCCAGGAAAGCTCACCAGCCCAGGGTCACCAGCCCAGGGTCACCAGCCCAGGGTCACTGTCACCAGCCCAGGGACAGCGTCACACCCCAGAGCAGGCAGGTAAGGCCTGTAGCAGTTCTGTCTCAGCACGTTCCTCGCAGCAGGAGGCTCAGAGCACCAAAGGGAAATTGGGGTCATGTTCTGAGCCATCCCCCGCCTGCACAGGCGGCCAGCACATGGCAAACAGCTCCAAAAGGACTAATTTCCAATTCCCTCTGCCTGTTCCTTCTGATGTCACCCTGTCAAAGCCAATGTGCATTTCCATGTCCTAAGAGCACCCAACACATCAAGGCTTTCAGCTGGCAGTTCACAGGCAAACATGGGGAGGAAAGATGAAGTAAACTGATGTATTGTAGATACAATGAGTATTTGAGCTCGATATTTTATACAACTTGTTCCCTTATAATAGGAGCCTCCTTATGCAAGAAATTTGCATACATCAGAAATAAATATTTATGGCTTATATCTGTAATTTGTATAATAATTCAAAATAGCAAATGTTAAAGCACTTGCTCTGAGGGTTATGATGCAGAAGGAGGAAGAATTTTGTCTCTCTTGCCTGCAAGAGAAACTCAAACAGTTTATCTAGAAGGGAATTAAATTAGCCAGATAATTGGACAGAGCAGCAATGGAAAAGCAAGTTGCTGCTTTCAAAGGGCATCCAATGGCTAAAATGAAATTGAAGCAGTGTCAGAGGCAGTCCCACAAGTCAAACGGTTTATACAGCCAATATTCTGCAAAGAAT